TGATTATTGTTACGTAAAACTTTAAAAAGTCCGTAGTTTTAAATTTTTTGAATAAAAATAAATTCACACTTTTTTACAAGCAAAAAATAAATTAGTAATAAAAAAATAGCTAAACTTACGTAGCTGATGGTAATCATTTGTTAACTCCAAAAATGTTAACTATCATTTCTGAATAAAACTGACAGTACCAAAACCGATATAGAGGAAAAAAAAATAATCTAAATAAGTAATTTATAATATTTTTAATATTTTGTAACTTCCCAAATTCCAATAATTGATAGTTAATTGATATTTTTCGCTTATATAATCCTGTCACCACTATAAAGGTATATAAAAAATTTAAATTTGATCCCAATTTCCTATTGTAATTTTCCATTAAAGCATGAAGTATAAATATTCATTTGCATTAAATATTCTAAATTAAATATTAATACATAAAAATTTATTCATGGCTTGTTATTCCGATTATTGTTTTTGGGTCCAAAAATCTGACATGAACACTCTCAGTACTAGTTAATTTAACAAAATAGGGTATAAAGAATATTTATTATTTAATAATGAGTTTATCGCGTTTGATAGTTATATTATTTTTATATTCATTATTTTATTTTTATAATCTATTAATAAATAATTTATTTAGGAATAAAAATTCCCATTCTATAGCTATTTTGATTATGTGAAATATATTTAATTCTTGAGAAATTTTAGTAAAATAAAGAAGTTCTATGAAATATATCCACAGTAACTATATATATATATTTGTATTGAGTAATTTATATTGGTAATACGCTAGTATGATCTCTGCATACTCTCAGCATCCAAAAATCGAAAATTCTAGGTTATGGTAAATTTTTAAGAATCCAATAAGCGGTTTATTTTAAGGTATCTGTCAAAGCCTGCTTGCCCAATTTTAATTAAATATTCACTGATTAACTCAATGGGAAAGTGATTGTTAATCTTCAAAAGTGGGATCAACTCTTCCCACAAATTTTATTGTATCTCCATAAAGTAGGTATAGTAACTTCTTCTTCGGTTTTATTAATCATCTCTCTAACAATTTCATCCAAATAATAATTAGAATATTCTTTAACAATTTCCTGTAAAATCAAAAAATAAAACAGCGAGATTGAACGTTAAAATTCGTTATAAAATAATGACCAACCTTCATATCAGATCCACTACAATTTTTCCCTTTTCTACACGTTGCAATGGATTAGTTGCGAATTGCATCTTTGATATAAATACTTAGTAGTTGTGAAATTTTTTGTAAATTACAGAATAGTCGTATAAAATAAATGCACTGTTCTTCATTTTATATCCTCACTTGTAATACGTCTTATCCCTTGAAGAATAACTTTAATTAAGCTACTTAAAATGTGATACTTTAGTGATTTGCAAGTTTATATTGCAGAGTTAATAAAAGAAAGCGTGATTTAAAGTGAGATTTTGAAGGTAAAACTATAATTATAGATTCACTTATTTTATAATAAAGAATTAGTGAAACTCGACAATATTATTCTAAATACATTATTTTAGTCTCCTGAGTCCTGAATGTAAACGGTTAAACGATATTGATTACGAAAATCTATACAGTATAGTTTTTTCTATACAGTATAATTTTTATTTATACAGTATAGTTTTTATACAACATCAGAGGTATATATCATACTCAATAACTATATTATCGAATGTAAAAAAAAAATTTTATAATTTCCTGATGATCGACAGATGATCGATGATAATTTTGTAGTTAGGACTAGTGCCTCGACCCGTATCCGGATCAATCCGGATTGATCCGGATTTTTTTTTTTTTCGGATATCCGGATTTTCACGGTTTTCATCCGGATTATAAACCGGATGAAAAATATCCGGTTTGACCCGGAATCCGGATGAAATTATTATTATTTTTTTTTATTAATAATAATTTTGCTGATCCATAAAGATCTATATCTAAATGATATTATGGCTAGTGCTTCGACCCGGATGAAAACCGTCATCCGGATTACACAAAAAAAAAATCCGGATTATATCTGGATTGACCCGGATTTTGAATCCGGATCAGATAATCCGGATAGAAACCGGAAACCGGATTGGATTTACAAATGATCGGCAATAATTCTGGCCAGAATTCATAACGCCGGCCAGAATTACAAATTGTGTAACATTAAATTTTCATGCCAGCCGATAAAAAATTTTTTGCCCGGTGGCTAAACTATTTTTCCGGTGTCACGTGATTTTAATTTCGGCCAGAATTACAAATTTGGCCAAAATTATCCAAGACCACGAAATTTACATAATTCCAATTTCATTAAATACTTTTCTTTAAAACAATTTCATATTATTTCAGCATT